TGTTTTCGAAGTTACTCGGACACAAGAAGAAAAACGGAACATTGCAATTGTTTCCAATCCGTGTACTCCACTAACGAAGAAGTAGAAATTATATCACGTTATTCATCCCTGGGTAAACTGGTTCGTATCACTGCTACGTTATTCCGTTTCTACAATAATGTACCAAATTCATTCTAAACACATTTCCGTAACCGAGTTCAATTTTACTTTAAATCGACTTATATTTCTTGTTCAACATTCTGTATTTCGTGATGACATTTATAACCTTTCTAAGGGAAAAGTCCCATCAAATCAAATAAGACGTTTAAATCACTTTATCGACTCAAAAAATTTTCTTCGCGTAGGTGGGAGGATACATAAGTCCCTTTTACCAAATGATTCAAAATATCAATTAATTTGACCTAAAAACATCTGTTAACGATTCTAATTATTAATTAAACTCATGAATCTCATTTACATGCCGGTGCGCAGGGTACCCAATACATACTTCTACAAAAATATTGGATCTTATCCGGTCGTGACATCATATGGCAATGTATTCATCGCTGCGTCCGTCGTTTCCGAGCACGTCTCGTGCACCCGCAGCCCAGCATGAGTCCATTACCTGCCGCACGCTTGCGACCTGATCGTCCCTTGCTTAAAACTGCCGTAGATTTCGCTGGTCCTTTCTACGTCCGCGCTAACAAAGTGAAAAATGCAAAAATAGTAGAATGTTACGTGTGTATATTTGTATGCATGTGCGTCAAGGCTATACACCTCGAAATAGTTTTGGACCTTACAACAGAGGGAGAGAAGGTGAGGTAAGGGGAGTTCCGTGACAGGTATCTAAAGGACTTGTATGCCTTCCTTCGGAATGACACTGTACACGGCGCGCTCCAGAACAAGACTCTGGAGGAAAGAATAACATGGCATTTTCAGCCACCGTATGCAAGTCATTTTGGTGGACTTATTGAAGCGGGCGTCAAAAGTTTTAACCACCATTTTTATCGGGTAGTAGGTCCTCGTATTCTAACCTATGATGAGATGCATAAAATCAATGAACCGCCACACCATGAAGGTTAGAGAGAAGGAGAATGATCGCTACGTGCTAAAGCGTAGCCTGCCTGTCCCTGAACTGCCGTCGGTAAGTAGTATATATGCGAAGTTTGCTGTTTATGAGTACAAGTAAATGAATTTAGTCGAATAATATACAAATTTTCTTTTGGGCATTGGTGAGAAAATAATCGTGCTCCGTAATTTTTTAATTTTTGACAAAAAGAAACATTAATAATGGTGAAATATCGTATTGTGCGTGGATGTGCAAGTGGTTTAGCATCTGATCGGAAAAATAGACTGAAAATGACTTTTATTGATTACAAACAATAGCGATCGCAGTGCCTCACTTATTTTGTCCATATTTCTGGGACACTATTTTCTACAGCGATCGTTCTCCTTATCTCTAACCTCCATGCGCCACACATGTATGGTATTTTTCCGTACGGAATTTCGCCGTTTCGGGATTCGATATGACCGCCTGTGCGTTTGGAATCCCAAAAGGAAAAAAGCCTCTCCGAACGCAAGTGTTCCATAGATTTTATATAAGTCGCAACACACATTCATAAATTCCAGATTCCCGAACGCGCACAGTGGGAGACGCGCAACCGAAGTGAATGGGTGATCTAATATATTATGGAGGATTTTTCATCATGAAGAATACTTGTTGTGTCGCGCATAGGGCAAGCAAGCATATTAATTTCATATTACATACATAGTTTTCCAAAGACTTACTCTAATAGGAGAAAAATATAGCAATATAGTTCAATTCATAGGAACAGCAGAAGTTCTTTTTTTTATTATAAGCGAGCAGCTATGCAGGTCTAGGTAAAGAGACCAGTATCACTGCGACCTATAAGATCTATTGTGATCGCTGCTATAGTTCACGACTAAACCCTATGTCTTCAATGAATCGAAGGAGTTGCTTAGCCGTGAGCAATTTCACTTCTTCTGGGCGGAGTAGATAGTGTCCCAGATGAGTGTTACGTTTGCGCATAAAGGGTCCGCAATCAGTTAGGATGTGTAGAGGCGTTTCTTCCCTTATGGAACATAACCGACACATCCTTGAGTTGCTTAGTCCCAGGATGGACATGTGCTTTTTAAGACAATAGTGTCCGGTTAGGGCTCTTGCCAGAATGCTCAATTTATTTTTACTTAATCCCAGGTCTTCTGAAGCGAGTTTACGATTAAAGGCCCGGAGTAAGGTTTTAGAATGTTTTAAGCCTGGTGTGTCAGACCAGATCTTAAGTGATTTATTGTGATAAAGAATTTCAAGTGTCAATCGGGCTAGGTTTCTTGAGATTCCACAAAATGGCTGAGGTCCAAATTGTGTGCTTTTTGAGCCCTACCGTGCAAGTTTGTCGGCAAATTCGTTGCCTACCATATCCTCGTGACCCGGAAACCATCTTAAAACGACCCTGTTGTTACATCCCAGAGCGTTTAAACGGTTCACGCAGTCTCCAACTAGCTTTGAGTTCACTAAGTTTGATCTCAGCGCTAGCAGTGCTGCTCGACTATCAGAGTTTATATTAATTTAATGGTTGACGTAGTGTTTTTGCAGATTGATTTCCGCACATCGAAGTATGGCGAAAATGTCTGCCTGGAAGATAGAGGTGTATCTACCCAAATTCATACTAAGTTTGAATTTGGGGCGTTCCCCGTAAATTCCAAAGCCTACGTCGAAGCCCATTTTAGACCAATCGGCATACCATATGAGGCTACCGACCTCACAGTAAACCTGGCCATTCAGCCAGTCTTCTCTGGAGGGTAATTCCAGTATATACTTTTTATCAAAAGTATGTAGTGGACGCATGATATCTGAGATCATGCATAAGACCGGTGATTCCTTAATTGAGTCGAGCATGGATCTCAATCTGTAGGAGAGCAAGCTCAGACCGCCCTGGGCGTTAATCCTATACAAACTAGCCCTTGCCCCCTTGTCTAGATAAAGATCAAGGAGCGTTAGGCATAGAAGTGCATTAAGAGCCGCTCCTGGCGATGATCGCATAGCTCCAGTTGTCATTAAGCAGGCAGTCCTTTGTAGACTATTTAGTCTGTCCGCAGTCGTCTTTTGGTTGGCCTTGTTACACCAGACAATAGAGGCGTAGGTGAGAATAGGCCTCACTATGCTGCTGTACAGCCATAGGACCGTACCGGGACGCAAGCCCCAGTTGTTCCCGACCAAACGACTGCACGTACCTAAAGCAATTTTTGCCTAATGGCATACGTTGCTAAGGTGAGAGTTCCACGTTAGTTTTTGGTCGATTGTTACGCCCAAGTACTTAACTTCCGTGTAAATGATACTTCTTTGCCGTTAAGTTTTGGTTGGACTAATTTGTCCAACCTTTGCTCTTTGTATTATTGACGATAACTTAAAGTAAAAAGTACTTTGGCAAAAGCCCCTTGCAATGATCACAAGGTCATCAGCATAACCCAATGTATCAATGCGTAGGTCTGCCATTTTGTACAATAGTTGGTAAACCACAAGAGTCCAAAGAAGGGGTGACAAAACACCTCCTTGTGGGCAGCTTCTTGTGGTTGCAACCTCAATCGAAGTTTGAAACAGCGCTATTTTTGCCTTTCTGTTTGAGAGCATCGATTTCACCCATCTGATGGTTGTAGGGTCAACATTTTTAGATGTTAGGCCCCCAATCAGCAGTGATATGGGGCTACTGTCGAAGGCGCCCTCAATATCTAGAAAGGCACAAAGAGCTATTTCTTTATCCTCCAGTGCTTTTACGACCCTGTCAATGACACTGATCAGGGCTGTTTCCTTTAGGGCTGCACTATAAATATCCCACTCTTTGGTTTTCTTAGCCCTATTAAATAGTTTCCTGGTCTTTTCCCTAAGTTCTTTTAGCTTAGAATTCCACCAAGAAACTTGTCGTGTTGAGGTCTTGGTTTTGATGGGAACGGGCAACTGTCCTCGAAGGCTTCACGAATACCTACGGTTACTGTCTCCGTCGCTAACTCCAGACCTTCAATTGTTTTGATGATTTTAGGAAACGTTTCCAAATTCCTCCTTAGGCTATCTCTATAGATATCCCAGGAGGTCGCTTTCGGATCCCTAGAAGTAACGGTTTCAAAGGTTGGTGATGCTCCAATCACAAACTTAATGTGCTTGTGATCAGACATCGAGTTTTCGCTACTAACATGCCAGTCATTTATCCGCCTGGACATGTTATTGGTAGCAAAGGTTATGTCTAACACTTCTTGCCTAGCACGAGTTACAAAGGTTGGTGTACAACCTAAGTTTAGGCTTACCAGGTGGTTGGAGATGAGAAAATCATAAAGTAACTCACCTCTTTCTTTGATGTTGGTGCTTCCCCAGGCTGTGTGGTGAACATTAGCATCACAACCCACCACAAATTCGGCGTTGTGTTTTCGGGCGAACTCCACCACTCGCTCTAACTCGATGGTAGGATCTGCGTTCTCGCCGGGAAGATAGGCTGAACAAATTATTACTTTGGCCCCTTGAGATTTATGAAGGCTGTAACCAGGTCATCATTGCAGTACTCTGGAACAGCTAAAAGTTCAATATTTTTATTATGAATTATACAAGCTCTGGGTCTACTGCCTTTGGTATTGACAAGAATCTTACCGGCAGCCTCCAATCCCAGAACTTGACCGTTGGCCACCCAAGGCTCTTGTATAAGGGCGAGGTCAATATTGTCCTCTGTAAAGCAAACCTCCACCACGGCAGAAGCAGCTGCTGCATGGTGAAGATTTGCTTGGAGGACCCTCGTCTTACCCTTGGGTTTAGCCATTTATGGGCGTGGGGGCAGGGGTCTTTTCCGCCTGTTGAGGACGAGGACGTCCTTTGCCTGCGAACTTGACCCCCGCCTTACCTTTCGTCAAACCGCTCCCACCTCCCCCCCCCCGGCCTGGACGACACCAGCGGAGGCCGTCGGACCGAGGCGAAATCTGCGCCTTGGGTCGTCGTCACTCTCCCCGGTGGCGTTACAGCCTCACTCTGAGAGGTGGAGGGTTGGGGGGAATTGGGTTTGGGGCGGTTCGGGCTCCATTGCCGCGTCAGAGCCTCCCCTGACTTTAAAAGTTATCATCTTAAAGCCAAGGACGACTCTGCCACCTGCCTTCCGAACAGCCTCCGCCGATGGGTCGTCCAGAGAAAAGGTTACTAAGAACCTATTCTCCTCGTCCCTACGGTGGAGGATTCTCCAGAGCTCAGTATGGAGCCCTTCATTTTGCGCCTTTAACAGCACAGCCGCCTCTTCTGGAGAGTTGGCTTCGCTGCGGGGCAAGTAGGTAATGCCCAGCTGAGGTTTAGGCAGTTCGCCCTCGGGTATTACCGAGAGCTCTGCCTCCGGCCAGGGCTTTAGTTTTCCGATTTCACCCACAATCCAGGCCTGGCTTGCCTTATTCAGGCACGTTACCAGAATCCAACCTGGCTTGTGTGTGAAACCCGAAAATTTTGGACCCATTCCCGGTTGCACCCCACAGGCCGTCTTAGCGATGGCCTATGTTAGTGCCCGGTGGACCTGCCGCATCTGCTCCACACTCATAGGATTCGAATTGCGAATTCCTATACGCATGGAGCCAGCTACGGCACTGAAGCTGAGCTTCTTCTCCTCCGTTGCCAGCTTCACAGTCTTCCTGGGCTGGTCTTTGGGGGACTCTTCCTCAGACCGACTGCGTTTTTTCGCCTTCGGAACTGGGGGAGGCTTGGGCAGAGGAATTGCGTCCCAAGGCTTCTGGCAGAGAGAGAGGGCCTCTTCGGCTCCTATCTCAGCTGCTATCAGCCTTCGGTACCTTTTCCCCGCTGCCCCACTAAGCTTATAAGGCCTAGCGAACTTTTTCTTTTCCCCTCCCTGGTTCGTTTCCGATTGTGGTTCGGCTGCAAACGTGCCCTCCTCTTCACGGCTCGTCCCAGGTTGGGGCGCACTATTGCAGGGTGTTGGTGAGGCTAAAAGAGCCTCTTCCAAACCTACAGCTAATTCCGTTAAAGGAGACTTCTCATTGTCTTTTACAAAATGTCGGTTTTCATCCATTTTGTTCCCACGATTAGCTAGGGAAATACTTGGTCACCCCGGCAGAACCCCCTATTCCATGTGCGGCCGAACCTGCGCCTTGTAAAGTTACAGGCGGTGAGCCGGCATGAAATACTGTCCCACTCTGCTGAGCACGCCAAACTTCTTAGAGGCCAATTTGGTCTTCTCTTCCAAGTGACCACGAAACCTCACGTCACTCGATATGTCGACGCCGAGGATTCCGATACTGGCTGAGGCAACAAGGTGAGAGCCTTGAAACTGAGTAGATACGACGAAGGGGCTTTTTTAGCGGTAAACGCGCAAGCTTGTGTCTTCTGGGGATTAAACTAGACTAGATTTAGTCGGCCCTAGTCCGAGACCTTGTTCAATAAAGTTTCGACTTCAGACACAAGTTTGTCCCGGTACTCTGCGACGTTTTCATTTTTTGAGTTTAAGAGCTGATTAGTTTTTGAAATCGATCGGTAAAGCCGTTTAAAAGTACCAAAAAACAGTTTTTCAACATTTTTATTTTTAAGATTTTTTTCTCAAAATCTTCTCGTCAGAATGAGTTCATATTATCACCAAATCTATTCCACATTGAGATCTTTAGAACGCCGCAAGCCGCATCTCTATCGATCAAGACATTCAAAGTTATGAAATGTTTACATACATACACACACACACACACGCACGCACGCACGCACGCACGCACGCACGCACGCACGCACGCACGCACGCACGCACGCACGCACGCACGCACGCACGCACGCACGCACCGCACGCACGCACGCACGCACGCACGCACGCACGCACGCACGCACGCACGCACGCACGCACGCACGCACGCACGCACGCACGCACGCACGCACGCACGCACGCACGCACGCACGCACGCACGCACGCACGCACGCACGCACGCACGCACGCACGCACGCACGCACGCACACACACACACACACACACACTCATACATACATACGTACAGATGTCTACGTGAAATTAGTCAGAATAGCTTCCTGGGATCTCAAAACGTCGAGTTCTGATGAAAACTCGATTTTGAAAAATTGGAGTAAAACCAGTAACTTCCCTATTTTTGAAAATATTCAGTTTTCTTAGCGGGAAGTTAAAAATTCTGGATAGGTTCGTAATTTGGCTCTTTTTACATAATACTGACTATCTTATAATCTTAGGGTGTTAAGGGGATGCACCCGGTAACGGTGGCAATATGGTTTCTTCGTGGCTAATACAACAACAGTATTTGGCCGGCCTAAGGCCCGCCGCATACATTCGGAATTCCGTTTCCAGATTCCGTTTCGAAATTCCGATTCGGGATTCTGAATGCAGCAAGTCCATATAAAATCAATGACCCGTCACTCACCTACGGTAGTTTTCCATACGGAATTTGGCGGGCAAAACGGGATTCCATATGTGTGTGGCCGACCCATTCGTTCCGTTTAATATTTGATTGCTTTATACATACGTTAACCACACATATCGGCATTTTTCAGTAAACAGTTTTGATAAACGCACAAGATTTTAAACCCAATACTATGATAGGGGGAAATAATCATGCGAGGTGAATCCACTGGGTTAAATGGTCAGTGAAAATATGGAACATAAAAATATGTATAAAGCACAGTGAGAGCAAGATTCTTTACTTTTGTCGTTGATCTCCAAAGCTAAAGATAATTCAGACGTGGCCTTTTAAAAAGCCTGTAACTGTAAATTGGCTGTCCGCTTTAAAGGAGCATACCGCTACTAGTAAACATCAAAAAATATAAGTGAATTCAGGGGGGCAGTCTTCGATTAGTTTAATATACCTACTAAACAGATTGTAATTGGTTTATTATTCCTGATAAAAAGGCTGAAAACCTGATTCATTTATCTATAGAGGTTGGTAAGCTAATTGGCGTCGATATCAAGGCAAGCGATATTAGATCTGTTCATCGCGTGGCTCCAAAGGTACCGACCGACCGTCCAAAAAACATTGTACTTCAGCTGACCACACGACGACTGCGTGATGATATGATAGCGGCGGCGCGTTCGCGCCGCACACTCACCACTGCTCAGTTGTTTGGCTCTGCCAACAGTGCCGCTGCTGCAGCTCAAAACACACGATTCTATATAAACGAACATCTGACACTAAAAAATAAAATTTTATTTAGTAACGCTCGACAACTGGCGAAGTCGAAGGGATATAAATTTGTGTGGGTCAAAAACAGTTGCATTTTGCTACGGAAAAATGACGATTCACGTGTCATTCACATCCGTTGTACTAATGATTTAAGTAAAATATGACTATTTTATTACGTTTACTTGTTTATTAATTTTCCAAAAGTAGCATATTTAAGTAGTTTTATTATAAGTTTTTGTGTATGTTGTTTACAATACTCAATACAGCGGGAGATCGAGATCCATAATTTTATAGCAAACAAATTTAAAATACACTTAATTATATCGGTTGCATTTCTTTCTCGTGATGGCTTCTAATAAGTTACTTATATTCTATCAAAATTGTGGAGGCTTAAAAACTAAGCTTACAGACTTAAAACTAAATTTACTAACTTGTAACTTCGATATTGTAATTTTAACTGAAACCTGGCTATTGGATACAATTTTGGATGCTGAAATTCAAACTGATGCTTATATAATATTTCGACGCGATCGGAACTGTATGTTATTTAATAAAAAGGGCGGTGGCGGGGTGCTAATTCTTGTTAAGAAATCGATCCATGTTGTTAGAAAACTTGACTTAGAGGCCACCGATTTAGAAATTATTTTTCTTCATTTCCCACACTCAAATTTATTATTGAGTGCATGCTATATACCACCAGCGTCTAAAACTACTACCTATGATAAATACTTTTATACACTTCACGACATTCACTCAAAGGCATTATTCTCACATTACATTATTACTGGTGACTTTAATTTACCCTACCTGGAATGGTCATCTGATGGTCCATCCTTGAGACCTGTTAATGCAGTTACTGATACAGCTAAATTATTGTCTCATATTATGGCCTTTATGAATTTGAAACAAATAAATACATTAAAAAACGAAAACAGTAGAATTCTTGATCTTGTTTTATGCAACTCACCTGATTGTTCAGTTAATATCTCTGATGATCCACTCTTAAAAGCCGTTCCTCACCATCCTCCGCTGGACATTTTTTATGAAACAACTCAATCCAAGTATATGCCCACCAACCAGAAAACAAAACGAAACTTTTACAGAGCAAACTATGACCAAATTAATACTGCTATATCAGAGACTGATTGGGTTTCTGAACTCAGTTCTTCTTGTATAGACACTGTAGTTGACAAATTTTATAACAAAATTATGCATGTTATTGAATCTTATGTACCACTTATCAAAGTTAAAACCAATAGATTCCCTAAGTGGTTCTCTAATAGCTTAATTTATACACTTAGGCGTAAATCTAAAATGTGGGCACGATGGAAAACGTATAATTCGTTACGTGACTATCAAGAGTTCTCCCTATTAAGAAAACGTGCTAAACGTCTCTTAATTAAATGTTACAATAAATATATAGAGAACGTTGAGTCTTCAATAAAGGATAATATAAAATACTTTTGGAAATATACTTCAGATATAAAGGAAACAAATACGGGATATCCTCAAGTAATGAAGCTGGGAACCAAAACTTCAGATGACCCAAAAATAATATCTGAAATGTTTTCACATCATTTTAAATCCGTATTTGAACCGTTGTCAGACAATGCATATACATTAACTCAACACTTAGAGGATAATTTTACTGGAATAAACTTACATGACATACGTTTCACACAGTTGGAAGTTTGCACTGCTTTAAAAAACATTGATCCAAACAAAGGCGCTGGACCTGACAAAATAAAGCCAGTGTTTTTAAAACACACTTCTGATACAATTTGCATGCCGCTCAATATAATTTTTAACAAATGTTTGGAAACTGGAACATTTCCAACTCAATGGAAACAAGCATACATTACACCTATCCATAAATCAGGTTCTAAGAACAACGTAGAAAATTACCGTCCCATATCAATTCTTTTGGCTATTCCTAAAATTTTTGAGAAACTTATTCACGATCATATATATTCAATTTTGAAAAATACATTATTAGAGGAACAACACGGCTTTGTTAATGGCAGGTCTACACTGACAAATCTTCTTGTTTTTACTAACTTTATTTTTAATAGTTTAGACTATAAATCACAGATTGAAACTGTATACACCGATATCGAAAAAGCATTCGACAAAGTTGATCACTTGCTACTCTTAAAAAAATCTCCTACAATGGTATCAAATGTAATCTTCTACGTTGGTTTGCTTCTTATTTACAAAACCGCATACAGTCGGTAGTGCTTAATGGCTACATTTCCTTACCCGTTGTAGTAACATCTGGCGTACCACAGGGATCAATACTGGGACCACTCCTCTTTATCCTATTTATTAATGACATTTCAACTTGCTTTGACCATTGTAAATTCTTATTATACGCTGATGACTTAAAATTATACTCTGCCGTTACTAAACCTGACGACATAAAATTAATACAAAACGATTTGGATAGACTTGAAAACTATTGTAAAATTAATAAATTATTCTTGGCTTATAATAAATGCAAACACATAACATATACTAGGAACAAAAATGTAGTACACGCGGACTTTTACTTAGGTGGTCACAAAATTGTATCAGAATTTAGTATACGTGATCTTGGAGTATATTTAGATACCAAACTCACACTAGATAGGCACATTGAGGAAATATTGAATAAATCTTACCGAATGCTAGGCTTCGTTACACGTATAACAAAATCATTTAAACACAAAGATACTCTTACCTGCCTTTATCAGTCATTAGTTAGATCTCATCTAGAATATGTGTCCCCCGTTTGGAATCCATTCTACTCAGTTTATGAAGATAAAATAGAAAAGGTCCAAAAGAAATTCTTACGTATTGTTAACTATCGAATGCATTCACCTCGCGTTTCCTATGAAAATCTCTTAAC